ACCAGCCTGCCCTTAGCGACGTCGCTAAACGACTAAACCTGGTTCGGAGGTAACAGGGATGTTGACAGTTGATTGCATTTTCATCCACTGTGTCAATGTTGGTTTCATCTTCTCCCTCCTCGCGTCAAATGTCACTCCCCGGTACCCTTGACCTCTTGGGGGGGGTTTCAGGATCAGACCATGCCAATGGATAGGATTATATCCATGAGTGAAATTGATGGTCATATCCGCTATCATCCATCCTGTCGAGAGATTAGTCTAATTAACGCAACTGAAACCCTCTCTCTATGCAGTCAGATGCATAACGAAAGAGAATAAATGCATAAGCCGGACAACGTTTGGCTGACTTACAATAACCCCCACCGAGACCAGTGAGCAACTCCTCTTAGGTAGGCAGCAGAAGGACATTTTATGCATTAGTGTGGAGAAAGTGCCGCTAATTCGCTAGCTATTCGATATACGGTTGAGCTGGACCAGGATGACAGGAGAATAGTCAGGAGGATTAAAAATTAGGGCTAACCGGAAAAGAGCGTCTCCATCAGCCTCTACGCAGTGCGAGATACTACTAGTTACTAACCGCCAGTCAGGATTAACTTCGGGCAGTGATAACTCGATCCGTGTTAGTCTCGTCGCTGGCTTGCACCAAAGGATGAAAGAGTCCTTCTACTATACTATTCTGATACTTCAAACACGGAGCTAGACCAGGCACCCATGCATCCAGAGGAGGGGAGGGGGGTTGCACCGAATTCACTTCTCGACCCATCATTCGAACGGTTGAGTAACTTGACTAGAGAGAGTTAAAAAGGGGGAAACGAAAACGAGAAATTAAATCGATCGGAAAAACCTAAAAACCTGAAAAGAGGCATGTCTATAATTATCATAACTTATTCGTATTATAGCCTCGTTGACATTTCAAGCTAAAATGACACACTATCCCCCAACATCTCCATCTTTCTCCACATGGGCTCTTTCTTCACACCCCTGGTAGGCTTTGTTAAGTTAGCTAATCTGACCACTCTGGAGTCTGCAGAGTCAGAAAAAGGCCTTGTTCCATTCCTCTTCATGAACTCCTTCAATCCACCACCACCAACCGTACTCAGTTTAGGCTTCCCCCTGTTGATTGCCCCAATTTAGTAACATCGTTACATTCAGTTCCATGCCATCATGCAAGGTTAGACTGAACGGAGACTCGCGGGTGCTGATGATCGCTCAACCGTTATTAACACAGATCTTATAGGTCCAGGGAGGACTCCATTTTCTTTCACCATCATGCAATATATGGGGATTACTTACTCTATAGGGGGGTGCCTTCGGACACTGGCCGAACTAATTGCGTATTGATTAATACTATATCCTATCTATGTTCCCGAGCGATCAGAGGATCGGAAGAGAAACAGAAGACGTTTCATTTTACTTGGCTATTGCCTGTATGGCATTGGCCGAGTTTGATCCTGCATTGACCGCTTGTCAGTGAGAGATCCCCTGCTTCCGCGCCATGTAAACCCTGAGCGAGAGAGATAAGAGTCACTAATGTACATATGCACACCTAGATTAACCCCCCCCCTAAAAAAAATAATAATAAAATTAACCGTCGCGCCACCATTTCCCCAGGGAACCACCTGATCCAGCCATGTCAACTACTTCTTCAAAGCTAATTTCTACCCGGAACATCCGACCATCTGCTGTGCCACTGCCTCCGCCAACCGGACTAATCAGCCCCCAACTGATCAACTTCTCCCACGCTTCACGTGCGACATCCCGACCCCAGACTCTTCCAGGGGTTGCGGCGGCGCCGGACACGGAAGCCGATGTCTTAGCGAATGTCAAAAGCCGGACGTACTCGGCATATGCTGCGGGGAAGGATAGCGCCAAAGGAGCCAGACTCTGAGGCTGTGTAGTTTCTAGACCCGGGTCATACAACGCAGCCAGCCGGGTGGCCGCCAACAACAAAGATAGGGGCAGCGACGAGGGACTGGCAGAAGTCGTCGTCGAGGTGGAGAACGGCAGTGGTCCGGGATCTGGACAAGATAGGCTGTGGTTGCTAAAGGTGGTTGGCGTTGGGATCTGGAGCGTGGCAGCTCCGCCTGTGGGGTGGTAGGCGCTGTAATGCAGCTCCGTCATGCCAATCAAAGCGCTGGTAAAGAATTCCTTCGCCGATCTAGTCTGAAAAAATATCCTCCGTAGATGCGCTTGAAACGCCTCGTCACTCCACAGGCCCTGTTCTGTGTAAGCTTCACCGTTTCAACGTTAGAAGGTGCAAACAAGAGGTGAAGATACCTGTAAATACGCTCTCCACCCTTCCAATAGTCTTCCAAACTTTTCGGATGTGATAAGGGAGCGCGTCTCGGGATTGGCCTCTTCCAAGTAGTCCGAAACCTCCTTGTCTTCCAGGTCCAGACCGGCTAGACAAATTTCGGAAAAGCCTTCTAATGATCTTGGAAGCGGAACATAGACGTAGCGATGGCTGAACCGACTCTTCACTCGCTTCTCTAACATCTCAGTCACATCCACTTTCGTGGTCAGGCCCAAGACCGCAATGGGGGCCTTCCGCGCCTGTGCAATATCGAACAGATTATACAAGAGGGTCTGACGCGGGTGAGTGACAAAGAGATCGAACTCATCCAATATAATAACAATGGACTTGGCTGCAGTTACGGTATCTGTATTATTAGAAGCACCAAACAGCTCTTCTGGGTGCGACAAAAGAGCAAGGAGAGTGGCCATCGTGTCCGCATAGCTGCTTACTTTCCCCGCCTCTTCTTCAGTATTGGTTTCACGACCAAGCTGGCGCCACATCTCACGAAGCGCCAAACGGTCATCTGTATGCAAGAACCCGTTGAGGCGAACGACGTGGAAGTCATTGTGGTGTTCTCTTTTTAGCGACGAGATGATAGTCTCAACTATAGCGGTTTTTCCGGAGCCTCGTGATCCGAGAAGCAGTAGAGAATTGCCCTCTCCAACGCTGACCGTCTGCTCCACAAGCTGATGAACCTTATCATACTCACTCTCCAGGCCTTTCAAAGGAATACATCTCTTGCCAGTAAGTTTGTCAAGGATGATCCTAGTCAGCGCCCCCAGTTCAGCAGTCAAGCCGTTGTAAGACAGTGTCTGCAATGATTCAGCGTAAGCCGGGAGTGTTTCGCCTCCAGCTATAGTCTCATCCTTCCCAGCGAAATCATTCTGGGCAAGATCTTGCTGTAATTGCATTGAGACAAGATCGTCCAATCCGTCCTGGTATTCATCCGGAGAAGGGGACTTCCGCGCCCCGAGGTCCTCATCACCATTCGTATTTGCCTCAGTCCCAGTAAACCGCACAGGGGGTCTCCTGGACCTCGTCCTCGTCAGCCTCTCGGTCTGAGGCTCCGATTGCGGCGACTCTGCCTCATCGTCGTCGTCTTCGGATACATGTCTTGTCTTCCGCGTACTCTTCGGGGTGGCACCACTTCGTCCTGACGCCGGGGCAGCCCTCCTAGTCGACGCAGGTGTACCAGTTACCTGGTCTTCATATCTCTGAGGGGGTTTGCGCTGCCGCCCGCTCGATCGTAGACCAGGCCTTGAGGGCGTCTCCATTCCATTTTCGTTCTCCTTGCTCGGTTCTTCTTCCGCAGCTTTCTGGCCTCCCTTTGATACCCGGCGTCGCGCCGATCGTGAGGCAGTCGGTGACCCTGTGTGTTCGTTGTCTGGAGACTCCTCGTGCCGAGCAGGTTTCTGCGGCGTCGGAGATGCGGCGGCCTCATCGCCCATTGCAATATCCCCATCCCCATCTACGCTAGGCGCACCAGACACCCTTCTTCGTTTGCTAGCCCGCGATTCCTTCATCTTCCAACTAGTCGTGAATATACCCAGACCGACCCGTCGCGACACAACGGTACCCCGATGCCTAGGGCGCAGTGAGTCCTGCTTCAAGTGAGTTTATCGCCTTACACTCTGCATGCACCGTACAGAACCCAATCCGTTGATTCAAATTGAGTAAACCGAAGCATCAATGGCACGTCGACCGAATTTGAGCATCGAACAAAGCGGGAGGAAAGGGTAGGACAGATGCGGAGTTGGAAATTATTTTCGGAGGTTTGCGACGGCGAGCGCAATCTGGGGGGATTAGTTCCTGTTAGCGTCTTATCGAAAGAACTACAATCTCATTCCTGTATATGTCGGATAACTTACAATTAAAACGTGCTTATATAGTAGGTGGTGTCTTAATGTTATGGACATACATCTTGCGGGCGCTGGCTGAGATTAGACATGGCGATCTTGTCGCCTGAGGCAGAACGCGTGACGCGAAGTCAGGTGAGATGGAAGTGGTTTTTCGGTAGTACCCTTATAGTTTGTGGATTTCCCCGAATTATTTGGAGGGGCGGTACAGTATCATGAGCTGTACTTGTTTATAAATGTTGAAGGGGAGTTTCTTTGGCTGTTGGGATGAAACAAAGGCCTTGTGAACTGGTTGAGTAGGATTGGCCGGTTTCTCGTGGTAAAAGACGGCCGTACTAAAGTAGTATATACGAAGCTACAGACTATGGGGTAGTGCTGCTGTAGTCCTCTGAGTCAAGGTTTAGAGATCGAATGTATACTCCAAAAGTTAGAGGATAGATTAAGATGTATGTATAAGTCGTTAATGACTTCCGACATACAAGAACTTCTGGTTTACTAAACTATGGCTGATGCCTCGGTCCGCTTTAACAGTAGAAGAATATATACACCGCACGACGTTAGCATATTTAAGGAGGTAAACAAAACCGATAAAAAACAGGACACCGATTTGCCTCAAGATATAGACTAGGAAATGCATCCCATCAAGCTTCTAACCCTAACCACTAATGTTCCATATTGTGCAACGTGTGGAGATCAGCAAGTATGTCCAAATAGTGGTTGAAACCTTAGAACTCATAAGCCAACCGCAGCCGTCCAACCTCGGTTATATTCGAAAGTCTACTACTACTTCTGCTATCAGTCCTCCGCATATAGCTGCCGGAGCGCTAAATCCTCCTGTACATACAAATAGTCACTCCCCGCTCAAAAAACCCGATAAAATTATAGATCTCTAAACATAACCTCTCACTATTATTCTTCGGCGTCGATTAATACGTTCATAATGCCGGTCCGCGCCCCAGCCAGGAAACTAGATGAATTCGAAGACCTTGTTTATCAGTACTCTAATGGCATGAATAGACAAGATGACGAAGAGGTCTCAGCCCACCCAATAGTTTACTTGGTGCATAAGTCGCTGATTTTAACCTAGCGCTGGGATATTGATTCGGCTGCTGCCGATCTTCGCTTTGAATCCGCAACTCAGGGCCCCCCAGCCCGAGTCTCATTCCTGTTGAATGTAACCCCCAAGATGTGTAATCCCGTGGGAACACTCCACGGGGGCTGCGCTGCTACGTTGATTGATATTCTATCGACTACACTCCTCCTGGGTCTCTCAAAACCGGGGTACTTCTCCTTTGGTGGAGTGAGTCGGAACCTCAGAGTGACGTACCTGCGTCCGCTCCCTAAAGGCCTCGAGATCCGACTAGTATGCGAGTTGATCCATACGGGGAAGCGGTTGGCACTAATGCGCGCGGAGATCCAACGAGCTGATAATGGCGCTGTCTGTGTGGTGGGTGAACATGAGAAAGCCAATACGGATCCTGAGGCGGATGGGAGAATCTGATTTTACCGTCATACATGTTTGGTTTTCTATCTTTTGTTCTTTTACGCTATAGTTAGAATATATTGTGTAGATTGAGCGTGATGACTTGAATATGCAGCATTACATCTTGTTATTGATGGTCTGAGTAGGACAACCGAGAAAACACAACACCAGACCCTCGGAATCTTCAGAGGCACCCGGTGTCTACTTATCTTATGGGTACAATATATACCAAAAGTGGAGGGAATGTACTGTCTCCAAGCTTGCCATGTCTGGGGGATGCAAAAGAGGATAAGCAAAGGAAAAGGAAGTCCAAAAGAAATTATGGCTCAAGTTAAAACATCCAAAGCAATGATATATTACCTAATTCTCAAATGCGATAACAGCGTATTTACTCTTGGGCAAGCCGCTGATCCTCCCGGAGGCCTTCAACGACGAGTTCTTCACCTGTCGCACGGCGATAGATGTCACGAACATCGGCTGAATTCATGTTAGCCTCACCGAACCTAGCTTTCTTCATCCGCTCCCCTTGGGGTTATGAAGACGTGACTTACCTGTTGTGGTTTCAAAATGAGATGTAGCATCGTAGCTCTTGGAGATGAAGATGTTGTCATTCTCACCGCTCTCTAGAGGCTCGTAAAGCGGAATGGGGGGACCGAAGAACTTCTCCTCGATTTCACCCAAACGCTCAAAGCCAGGCTCCAGCTCAATGTGGTGGTTAACATCAGACTCAGCAATGGTCGAGACGATAGCGATATAGTAGCCCTTAGGGCAAACATTGTGTGCCGATGAAACCATAGCGATGTAGATATCTAGACGCTATCAGCAAGAGTTGTCGTTTTCATCCTTCTGATACTGTTAAAACCCACCGTGCTTTCTTCCAACCTGCGACTGGGGAATGATCAGCTGCAGGGAGTCGCTACCATCCGTCTTGTCAATGGGGTGCTTCAGGATGCAGATCGCCTTCAGCAAGTATCCGGTAACCTTGGCCTTGTCAGGGAAATAAGATGGGTCGGCCAGAATCTTCTTGGTCTTGGTGGTGAACTTCATGGTTTCGCCGTTGTCATCCCGATCTTTCATGGTGGCCTTGATTCCAGAAACCTTGCCGTTCTCATAGAGGACCTCATCGATGTTGGTGTTAAGCATGTAGGTACCTCCATAGATAGCAGACAAACGAGCGAAGCCCTGAGGGAGCTCACCCAGACCGTAGAGCGGGTAGATGTAGGGCGACTTGCCGTAGCGCGCCATAGAGTTCACGTACAAGCGGATGCGGTTGATGGCATCAGCGGCCATTCCGCTCTTTCCAATATACTCATCGGACTGGTATAAGGCCATTGAGTGGCCAATGAAGTCACGGGTGTTTTCTTCCAAGCTGAATTTGTCATAGACTTCCTTCATGGTGCACTGAGCAATGTTCAAGCCTAGACTATGTTAGCAGTCATGACAATGCAAGCATTCCGTCCCAGATCACGAACCCTGGTGAGTGCTAGGGTCGTCTTCCTTGAATTCGCCAACCCATTCGAGGAATTTCTTGGCTCTCCGCTTCTCGAACATGCCCATGAGCGACGAGCGAAGTGCTTCGTTGGCATCTGAAGGAACCTTCGCCACAGTGGCCTTGGGGCTCTTTCCTTGTTGGACGTAGCTGCCGGCAATCTGCTTGAACTCGAGGTAACGTGTGACATCGGTGGAAACCAGGATATTCGTCAACTCGCCGTTGGCCATCAGCAGCTTGGGGACCAGGTCAATGTTCCAGTCATTGACCCGTCCATACTTCTTCCATGGCTCTTCGCCGGGGCGGACGTTGCCGTATTTTTTGAAAAGCTGAGTAGTGCAAAAAAAAACCGGAATTAGTACATCGAGCACATGGTGTACTTATCAAAACTTACTGTTTCGATGTTCACGGAAGCAGCCTCTCTGTTTCGAAATGTTAGCGGGGGGTGGTGACGTGTGACGGGCGGAATAGCTTCCCAGCACAGCTGTCAGAATACTTACCCTCCGTAGTGGTCATTGCGATCGATGTGAAGAACCTTATTTCCCTTGACACTCAGAACACTATATATTGATCAATAAGTGACCTAAAAATGTATGTTAGGGAATATAAGAGTGTGCATACCCGGAAAGCACACACTCGGTCAGGCCTGAGAGGGGTGTTAGTCCAGCTTGTTGAGCGGCGGGGTAGCAGTCTAGTAGCACGTACCAGTGCCGAGAACAACAACATCATATTCGGGGGCGATCTCATCCATGGTGGAATATGATGTAGGATATCACGAGAAGCGGGAAACGAAAAGAGTTTTAATGTAAATGAGACTAAACAAACGTTCAGTGGAAAAAGTAGAGTGAGAGGTGAAGGTGGGAGGATGCGGAGACGAAGAATGAGTGAATGGGAGCGGTGAGTTTGTGTTTTGAAAGGAGGTCCTTCAACCTTCTGGGTCAGGCCGTCAGGTAGTCTAGTTAAGTCTATTACTTACTCTTAACTATTTTGAACCATACCCCCGCGGATCACTCGTGAGCAAGAAATTATTAGTATTATTATTATGATTCGGTACCCTCTTCCCCCTCAACTAATTAAAGGATCCACCGATCCAAATAACCTCCCATGTCAGGGTGACAGTTAAGGAGTCGCCTTTTCCAGAATAGTGATCGAAGTTAATAATTCTCTGACTATTACTGGGAGAAGTTAGTAAAAGAAAGGGTAAACGAAAAAGAAAAAAATACACCAAAATAGGATTAAATAAAATAAAATAAAATATTATCATGAATCTAGATACGTAAACCTCCTGAATCGTTCTTACCCCTTTTCCCATCGGATGAACCAAATAATCTGTGGAGATCGTGGATTCAAAGGAGTATATAGATTCCAATTAATATATACACATAAGTACCGTTGCTTTAACCCCTAATCAGGCAACCCCAGCACTACTATTGAATTATTGGAGTTAGAAAGTATACGATCTGGACCCGGAAAGACTATAGACTGGTCGACAAATCCACTCCCCTTTTCCGTGCTCATCCCCATGAAGCATCTCAATTAGATCACAAGTCTTATGAAATCAATTGGACTAATACAGAGTGATAATACTACATATACAGAACTAATAATCTGAGACAGGAGCCCTTTCAATCCATTTCTGGAAACTGTAACGCTCTATCCAGATTATGCCGTGCCCGATGCCTCTTCGGCACCCTCTTCCTGTGGCCGGTAACCACTGTTATACAATTTCTGGGCATCTTCCCAGGCATACCATCTTTCCCGGAGAACGTGCTTGATACTCTTTTGTGTAACACGGATCTGTTGAGGGTGAATGTTAGTGTCCCGATTTCAATGTACTAGCCCAAGCCTCATATGTGGGATGGACCCTCGCAATTTCCAAAACATGAACATGCCATATCAATGTCCAGTACAGCGATGCCAATGTATGGGGACAGATGATCTCGCAAAGCTTTCTAAGCAGAAAAAGAACTCACCGTCCGGTCCCGATTATCAAGCTCCCATTCTCCGTAACCGGCCTTCAGTCGCTGTCTTTCCAGCTGCGAAGTAGCTATGCGATTGCGTTCCTTGACACAGACCCACCAAAGAGCATGAAGATCCTCCCAGGATTTTTCGCGAAGTTCCTGGATTGACCAGGAGCGACCTAAACAACTGATTGTGAGCATCACCCTGTGCCTAGTAGATACTTCTTTTTTTTGACCCTCCTTCAACAAAGCCCAGAGGAGAGTGGACTAACCATGCGCGTGATCGTATTTTGGCGTGCTCAGTGCCTGATGATCTGGAGGGAAGAATCCCCAAAGACCATGATCCGGGGTAGGGTTACGCTTCTCGAGTGTTTCCGGCGAGACAGGCTTGGGCAGTGGGTATTTTGAAACGCCCAACTTAAACTTGGGGCCGGTACGGTGGATGGCGGACACACCGCGTGACTTGCTCAGATCACGTCCATGGCCAGCAGCAGCAGCGACAGCGGTCGACGAAAAGTTCGAGCACTGAATCCGGGAGAAATGAAGGGACGGCGCGAGGTAAGGAGGAGGCAATTCGGCCAGCGGAAGGCCCCCGAACTGGCGAGCAAGTCGCGCAACCGATTGGCGATGCATTGTGGATTGGAGGTAGCGGCCTTCAAGAAGACTCGTAGAACTCGTGCGCTCTCCTACACAAGAAGCTAACGGAACGAGTGGACTTTTCGGCGGGTAATCCACGTGACTCAACAGCCGCTAGCCGTGTCACGCTCCGTCGCGGCAACATACTGCGGCTCTGTTGCAGAAATCATGGGTTGTTAAGTAGTAATTGACAAGTGAGCTCCATAGTATTGATACGCATACGGCTTTCCTTTGTCTCCGTATAAAGCCATTGCCAGGTGCGGGACGGGATTCGAAGGCTATTAGAACAGTGTAACAGGATTGTTCACCAATTGGATGATCATGAAGAGACAAAGAGATTGGATTAAGCCTTTGGTCTTATCGTCCATCTTGGATATATCTATGGACCAATTTTAAACCAAAGCAAATGATTGAGGGTTGGTCCTTGAAAAGGACCTTAATATCTAGGAACCTTACTAGTTACGGAACAAAGCAGCGCCAAATGGCGGCTAAGATGGTCCGTGCACATCAGGAAGCGCGCGTGTGCAGCCACTCCACCTTCCAGTATCCGTCGCATGAGAGTGGGCAGAGATCCTTCGAAGCACTTGTGATTTCAATACCTCCCCAGACTCTTTGTGTTGACTTTCTCTTGGTTTTCCGAATTACAATATTTACCTTAAATAGACAGTCTTTGGAAGCTTGTATCACATCATGAATCGGCCAGGTTCGTCAATTTCTTTTCTTCTCTTTGTCCTATTCATGGCCCGGTGTTGGTATAGCCTGCCACAGAAGTGATTTCCTTTGATCAATTCCTATATGCCGATCTACTGTTTTCAGGGTATTTGTGGTTACTTCAAAAGTTCTCTTGTGAACAGAAAATGTCCTACCTTGAACTCAGCGTTGCACCAATTGCATAGATTCACAACATGGCATCCTGCCCTGCGACCGGAAGCCTTACAAGACCTTATCAAGCCTCGGCAGCTTGAATGAGGAGATCACAAACCTTTTTTGTTTGAAAAATGTGTATTCACATATTATATACTGACTCTTGTTCCTCTTGACTAGGACCAGGCCCACAGCCTCTCCGGGGTATGTCTGGATTCCCCGCACAGCAACAAGCACAAGCCCGAAATGCGACTCTGGCATCGGCGCGTTTGCCAAACGGAAAACTAGGTGCGACTAATTCGGACGTTGTACTTCGGTATCATTATAGCCTTGGAAGCTAATGGAGGAAGGCCAAATAGGGAGCGGTGCTGCTTGGAATTTCAACTTGCCTGTCAGCGGAACCCCAGGAATCCAGAACAATCAGCAGCGCAATATGGGGAATATTGGGTCTTTTGCACAAAGCCTCAGTGGGTCGCAGCCTGCCACACCGCTTGATTTATCGTGAGTGTGATCTCGCTTGTTTTCTCGCCTTGAGCCTTCTCCGTACGCAAGAGGTATGGAAACCTTTCTTGACTGCTAATGCTGGGGATTTGTCTGCTAGCGATTTTCCTTCTCTATCCGGAGCACCCCCACAATCCCAAACTCAAAATCCGGGGCACTTAGTATGGGCGAATGCTAGCCAACGAGCCATGCAACAGACCCCAGTCCAAAGGCAGCAACACCCTACGTCTCAAGCACCTTCACGACCACTTCAAACACAATCCCATCCTCAACAACAATCTCAACCCTCGCATGATGATGTATTTCCATCTGGAGCCCAGTTCGCCAATCGCCTCGATGACTATAGGAACGGCGGACAGGGCATCAGTGGTCAGTTAGGCGCAGGCGCACAGCCGCAAACGGGCAATATTGAGGAATTTCCTCCTCTGGGGCGCAACGTCACCGCAGAGATTGGCCAAGATCGCAGGGGATCTTTAATGCAAAGTGCAGGATTTGGTAGTTACAACGCTGGCTTACCGCTTTCTGGCGCAAGCCAAGCCCAGTCGACGCAGAATCGCAACGCAATCTCAGCATCCATAAACGGGCAAGAAAGGATAATGTCACCTGCCAATGCGGGATCAGGAAGTATGTTTATTGAGGTCTTCCTTCATCGGTTGATGAGAGATTAATCATTCCTAGGTATCGGATCTTCACGGTCACCCGTCAACCAAACCACCAATGGGGTGTCGGGTCAAGAGAAAGAGGTTCGGCCCTCGATATCAGGACTGCATGTATACCGGCTTACGATAACTTGCACAGGATTTGGATAATACTGTGCTATCAAGCCAGCGCAACTACACGGAACAACAGTCTGTCTCCGGAGAGACACAAGAGGCCTCTGGAGCCGCCCAAAGTGCCGAGCAACCGCCGCTAGGCGAGATGAGCGAGCTCGATAAATTCGGGCTAGCAGGTCTTCTGCGCATGATCCACAGCGATAGCCCAGATGTCGCCGCTCTTGCAGTAGGTCAGGATTTGATGACATTAGGCTTGGACTTGAATCAACCGGAGTATGTCCATGTCTACTAACCCGACGATATTTTATTTGCTCAAACTAAATTATATTAGACCTCTACACACATCTTTCGCTTCCCCTTTTGTTGCATCCATGACCGGTGTGCCCTTGGAACAGGATTTTGCGCTGCCTTCTTGTTACAACGTTGCCAACATCCAACCACTCCAGTCACGTATTGCCAGCTTTAGTGACGAGACATTATTTTACATCTTCTACAGCATGCCACGGGATATTATGCAGGAAGTCGTGGCAGAAGAGTTAATGGGTCGCAAATGGAGATATCACAAGATTGAGAGGTGTTGGCTTACCCGTGATGAGACGTATCCTGGACCCGTCGATGTTGAGCGCGGCATCAGTGAACGAGGCATATACTTAATCTGGGACCCTGCCACCTGGAAAAAGATCAGAGTACGATAGGACCCATTCGCAACCAAGCTTCCCCTTCTCCGTGCTAACGAAACCTTTGCCGGCAGCGCGAGTTTATTCTCCGGTATGAAGATCTTGACAACAGAATGGATCCCAACAGGGGTCTCGCACGCGTTGGATTCCCGCACCATGGTTCATGAACGTCCTAGAGCAGCATTATGAGGGAGACAGCCGTTGGGTTCACCCATTGTAAGGTTGAGCCAGTGCTGCCAGTGATTCCAAGCCACCAATTGTTCCTCAGAACATGAGTGGATATATGTTAAAGCAAATGACTATTATGATCTTGTCACTCTTCACACCCAAGCAGATAAGCTAATACTGGCACTGAATACTATGACTCGAACAGAATACAGTCATGCATAATCTAGCAAATATTGAGCTCCAAGAAAGATAACTACCAGGGCTTTGGCCCGTAGCTATAATAAACTCCTCCTTTAGCCGTGCCAATGGCTTCATGTGTACCTTCACCCCGAGGCAAAGTGGCTAACAGCTTCGAAGGTATGGTGTTGTCTCTATAAAACCATAGAACATCTTGTTGGACATTATAGTGTTCTCTACACCGCCCACATTACATCAGTTCAACATTCTGCCAGATATTATCTGACCGCCCTCCACATCCGTTAACGCAAGAAACAAAAGTGAACTTGAAGAATTGCTCCAGCACCATCCTCGAGTGTAGTCTCGTGGAGGATTGGCTTGTCTGCGTGGCTTGGGAAAGCTTATATTGCTTTTCACTTATCTGCCTGACTTAGTAGTTTACAATTGACCTGTCCAAGTGGTGAGTTGTGTCGATTCTCCCCTTTCAATCGATTGTTCTTCAAAGCTCGGTATCGTCATCGGTGGGGGTTCGTCGGTTCATGTGGTCCGATGCTCCATGTTATGGAAGACCTGTATATGGATACGAATTCAAGTCCTATGTTATGCCGAACTGGTGTTAATTTTTTTTTTGTTTCTTCATCTCCAATCAATGCTTCAAGGTTATGTCGTTGAGCGCATTCCTGATATGGAGCCGCTAACCATTCGTAGGTCCATTAAGAAACAAATATCTTGACAATAGTTGAATCCTCCTAGGATCATCCAATAGTAAATATGGCATCTAACTCAATTAACGTTGCCTTCAGGTCTGCAGGACCTAGAGCCCGCGCAATTCCTTCTCTCCGCTGTTCTCAGCGACCGTCAGTCCTCCACAGACAGCCTGTGTTTCGGCAAGCAAGCTTGAGGTATGCCTCGGATACTGCCGCAGAGGCAACGGAGGCCGTGAAGGAGGTGCCCAAGAAGGCAGGCCGGGGACTCCGGAGGACCGTAATTGGTACTTCTTTGGCTCTTACCCTTTTAGTTGGCTTCGTGTATGGAACGGATACTAGGGCTAGTGTTCATCGGTATGGCGTGGTGCCTCTGATTCGGCTGTTGTGCCCTGATGCGGAGGATGCGCACCATATTGGTGTGGATGCTTTGAAGAATCTTTACAAGCTTGGACTTCATCCTAGAGAACGGGGTAACCAGGACGGTGATGGAGTCCTCGCGACCGAGGTATGGCTTTTTCTTGGTGGAGATTTAGAAGGTTGAAATTGATCAATTGTCTTTTTAGGTCTTCGGATACACCCTTGCCAACCCGATTGGTATTTCCGCTGGACTTGACAAGCACGCCGATATCCCGGACCCTCTCTTTGAGATCGGACCTGGAATCGTTGAAGTGGGTGGCACCACTCCGCTACCACAAGAAGGAAACCCCCGACCTCGTGTCTTCCGGATCACATCCCAGAAAGCTATGATCAACCGATACGGTCTCAACTCCAAGGGCGCCGACCATATGGCAGCTGTCCTGCAGCAGAGAGTCCGCGACTACGCATACGCCCATGGATTCGGATTGCACGATCTGGCTGAGGAGCGTGTGCTGAACGGCGAAGCTGGTGTTCCCCCAGGCAGTCTTCGGCCAGGACGACTCCTCGCTGTTCAGGTCGCAAAGAACAAGGTTACCCCAGATGCCGACATCGAAGCCATCAAGCGCGACTATGTGTACTGTGTTGATCGGGTGGCCAAATACGCCGATATCCTTGTGGTGAACGTTTCGAGCCCGAACACCCCCGGTCTGCGTGATCTTCAGGCGACTGCCCCTCTTACCGCCATCCTGAAGGCTGTCGTCGGCGCAGCAAAGAGCGTCGACCGCAAAACCAAGCCATATGTTATGGTCAAGGTCAGCCCCGATGAGGATGCAGACGAACAAGTCTCTGGCATTTGCGCCGCAGTCCAGGGCTCTGGCGTCGATGGTGTAATTGTGGGAAACACAACTAACCGCCGTCCTGCACCTCTGCCGAAGGGCGTACCCCTCCCCCCGAAAGAACAGAGCACCCTGAAAGAGACCGGTGGTTACTCTGGCCCTCAACTCTTCGACCGCACAGTGGCCCTGGTAGCTCGGTACAGAGCTCTCCTTGACCAAGCGCCCGTTACCCCGGAACTCGCCGAAGCTGCCCAAGAAGCTACTACGAAACTGGTCCAGGCGGAACCTGACTCGGAAAACGTTCCTCCAGTGGAAACGCCTAACCCCACTAACCAGTTTCCCCGTAAAGTCATCTTCGCTTCGGGAGGTATCACCAACGGCAAGCAGGCTCAGGCCGTCCTTGATGCTGGTGCCTCCGTCGCTATGATGTATACGGGCGTTGTGTTTGGTGGTGTCGGCACTGTGACTCGTGTAAAGCAGGAGATGCGCGAGGAGAAGAAAGCTTAGAAATCTTCTAAATGGGAGTGACCGTTTTTGAGGAAAGCACGTGTAAATAGTATTCGGCAGTCGTTCACATTCATTCTATAAAAGCTAGAAATATATGTTTTTCATTTGAACTTTCTACGCCCCCAACTTTTGAGTTCAGACCTAATGAAGGAGCATCCGAATTCGTCAACTGAATATCCACATGTACCCTAAGCAAGGGACAAGGTAAAATTAATAGAAGAGAGCAGGGGTAATAAAATGGCCAAACAATCCAAGCTCGTATACTGCGTCACCCGACCGCAGAACCATGATTTTCGTCCCTCTATGATATGCATATGCAATTCATATAACGAAAACGCATTACTATGAAGGGGGAATGAAGAAAGAAGGAAAGAAAAAAAAGATTTCAAGCAACGTTCAACGTCTCCTCAACTTCCCTGACCACCTTCCGCACACCGTCGATCTCATGGGCGAATCTCCCCAGAAACATGCCGTCAACGGCTTTCCCCAGACCGCCCGCGCCCCACAGGCCCGGCCCGGCACTTCCCCCATACAAAATACGGACGTCACCAGGCCGCTCCCCAATCACCGCCTTGATACCGTCCACAACGGCAGAAATGTGATCGACTCCAGCCGGTTTTGGTTTCCCTATCGCCCACACAGGCTCATAGGCGAAGATCACAGGCGCATGGGCGGGGATGGCCTTCAGGACTGCGCGGACTTGCACCTCGCACTCGCGTACGGCGAGCCCGACGGCCTGGGACGCTACAGGGCCTGGCGCTGTGACCTCGCCAATGCAGACGAGCGGAACCATACCGTGCGCGGAGGCCGCGGCGGCCTTGCGGCCTGTCTGGTCGTCTGTTTCGCCGAAGATGGAGCGGCGCTCAGCGTGGCCTAGTTCGACGATGGAGACACCCATGGAGCGGAGGGCGAGTGGGGATACTTCCCCGGTGTAGGCGCCCAGCGGTTCCCAGAAGCAGTCCTGGGCGCCCAGGAGGAACGGGGGTGGTAGAGTCTTGGCCTCCTGAGGGGCTAGGCTGGATTCATAGTTTTTGATGATCTCGCTGCTGGGGTAGATGGTTAGGAAGTCGGGGATCAAGGCCAACAGCAGCTTGGAGCGGTTCTCTGGCCGGACAATGTCATTTTTGGGGTCGAGGAGGGCACGGAGATAATCTAGTGTTCGGGTGGGTGTAAAGTACATCTTTAGGGAGATGATGAGTAAGGTGCTGGGTAGCACCGGGTATGTTTGCTCCGTGGAGGCCATCTTGTTCTGAATATGGTTTTCTTTTTTCTTTCGCTTTCCTTCTAAGGTTCACTGGAAATCCTGGTCGGTTGTGAGCCGCTAGTTTTGCTTTCCCACACAACGCTGGGGTGGGCGACTCGTAATTCTTTGGAGGGTTGGATATAGAGGACCACTCTGGTGTGATTCCTGAGATAACCGTCGCGACGCTAGAGCTCCACTTTAGGCGACACGGAAAGAGTGTCGTTCCTGTAGACGGGGAACCAAAAGTACGAGTATATTTGTTGGGCGGAAGTGGAACAAATCTCCGAAACACGAAGATAGCAGGGAGATGATGTTGAACTGAGGGGACTTCTGCCAATCAACTCAGTCAGTGCGAGACGCGGGAGTCTTTTGGGTTGGTCGTCGTCCAGTGAGTTCAGTTGATTTGGGCCTAATTAAAGGGCGCCTGAGGCCAACTGCGGCTGTGAGCGGACGAAAGTCTGGGACTAAATCATGAGTTTCGGTAACCAAGTGGGCTTACCCAGCGACAGAAAAGAGGAGACAGTCGATCGTCCCACGCGAATGCATCCCCCGGTGGGTGATATCACTGGCTGAAAGTGAGAGATTTTGTGGGCCAACTATGGGGATGTACCCTGTCAGATCATGGAATTGCGAGATGTCATATGTAGGGTATATCTTTATATTATGGAGGCCTGGAGGGGGTGGTATACACTTGGAAGCGTATACCCCAGTGCCATTTGGCGCGAGGACTCTGAGGAGGGACGTTGGCGGCCATAATAACTGTTGGCGGGGTGAGGATGTGTCCAGGAGGGGTCACTGGAACTAATTATGAAACTCTCGTAACGACCGATCGTTCCGATATGAGGCCAAGCCGTGAGTTTAGTTGAAGCGGAAATTGAGGCATCCAAGCCGCGTGTATGGAACGATACCGAAAATCATGGATGGGATGTACCGTTGCGTGCATTCCGAGTACCGCATGGACCTCCCGGTTCGACGAGTTACGGTAATTTTACACGAGGGACCAATCCTCATGCGGTAAGTTTGCGAGAGAGCCTGTTTTGCTGACTTTGCTGAAATTTCCTGTTCTGGCACCCTTGATGCCTCGCGGCCTAAGGACGTTATGGCCGATCGGATGGCTGTGGGCCACCAATAAATGAATTGGGCTTGGTTCGAAAGGTGGAGTCCCCCCCAGTGCAGTGGAAACGATGCAAGTGCAACCTTCGAGAGAGCCGAGCCGGGCCTATTCTGCTCCAATCCTTTCGGGAGCTCCTCTTTAGGACATGCGAGATCTCCTGCGTCCTTGGGTATGCTCAATAGCTTGACTGAGGAATTTTTTTTTATGGAGACGAGAGGTACACATGACCTCTATATATCTACACTTGGGAATCCCGCCAGGTAATCTGATGGTCTGGAATTCAAATTTCGATTATCATGTGCTGCGTTCGATTTTTCGACGACCACTAGTGCCAAGCAGATACACGCAGGTATCCTGCACTAGGCCAAGCGAAGTCGTGAATCGTTACCGTGAAGGTGCCCACCGTCATTGGTACCGTGCTGAATTCAATTCCATCTCTGGCTACATTAGTCTATGCACGTTGTTACGAAAATGGTCTCCATTTTATAAACCAATCCGAAAGTACAGTCCCTTGCCGGACTCTCCTGGACTTTACTTCTTTGGGAGCGTCCGCAGCAGTCCTTACAATCCGTGGGTACCGAGTTGTCGCAACCACCTGTCGGTATGGTCCAACAATTAGAGATACCCCGGAGTAGAGCCCTTGTGGGGAAACTACTACTACTCAATAGTACGAGCGAACATGACTCCAAAGGATTCTTCAAGCGCATTGATGTTGTGCAGTGCCATATTGTCAGCGCCTGTTGTTAGGAGGGTTGGAGGCCTTTTTTTGCAGAGGATATTGTTGAACACCCCTGGCAGAACTCTAACATGCAGACGGGAGGTTTCTCGACACCCTCGAAAAAAGGCCAGATAATCCCGCCCAATACACACAGGGTTGGTGGTTTGATTTGGTTCCGTTCCATGGCAGTTTTTGATAGGAAACTACGGCCTTAGGCTCTCGGCTAAACCGGATCGGGGGTAGTGGATGGGATACTATTGGTCACACGGGCTGCAGCCATCTAAAACCCGCCCCACGAGACATCGGAAGGATTGCAATTCATCATAGTAGTTCAATTGACAAGGGATCTCATAATGTAAGGACACACACACACACACTCTCTCTCTCTCTCTCTCTCTCTCTCTCTCTCTCTTTGACTTCGTACGAGAAAACGGAGGTGGCGGCGCCATGGCCGGATAGATATTAATTTCTGCGAGAGCTTATGCAGAGTAGTCAGTACATACATACCTACATGGTTGTTATTAAGGAAGCTTTGGCGACCAAATAGAAAGTGATTGTTCCCTAAAAGATCCGAATCACTGCCTGCTAAGTATAACTTCGACGGGGTAATGATTGGATCATTCAACCTCTAGTATTCACCTCATAAGCCACGCAGGCTATTTTAGTTCCAGGAGTTCCGTTTCCGATGCCTCCATCATACCCATGTAAAGCTATGACGCCACCCGTGGGGCAGTTGGAACCAGACATCGTCCTGTATGCCCCGTCGTCCTTTGAATCCTGTTACGGTGGGGAGGTCTCTTGGAGAGAGTGATGCGTAGCGAAAGAGAAAAGCACGGGCAATCAATTCCCTATGCTTTAACCCAATCAATACACTGGGTCCAGTCGCCGAGGTTTGGTTCGATTGTGAGGCACCCGCAGCGCAACCTCCCCCAGATTTAGAAGGAAGAGCTAGAAACCTAGTTTGACCCGGGGACATAATGGGGGGGGGAGCTGACTGACTGGCTTTCCAAACTATATAAGGATCCATGATTCCTGTCTTCGGTCTCCCATCATTTCCAAATTCACCAAAGACAAATTTCCTTAGATTTCTTCTCTCATCCAATCTCTCTTTCTCCCAATTCTGAACTAGAAGTCGAGAAGTCAATTGACTCTTATCTCTCCATTATCAAAATGTCTGCCGATCTGAAGCCCCTTCGCATTGTCATGGCCTGTGACGAGGCTGGCCAACCCTACAAGGAGACTCTCAAGGCTGCCCTCGAGAAGAACCCTCTGGTCGAGTCCGTCGATGATGTCGGTGTTAACTCAACCTCCGACAAGACTGCCTATCCTCACCCCGCCGTCGCCGGTGCTAAGCTTATCAAGGAGGGTAAGGCGGACCGTGGTCTCTTCATCTGCGGTACGGGTCTGGGTGTTGCCATCGCTGCCAACAAAGTTCCCGGCATCCGTGCCGTCACTGCCCACGACTCCTTCTCTGTCGAGCGTGCTATTCTGAGCAACGACGCCCACGTCCTCTGCTTCGGTCAGCGTGTCATTGGCATTGAGCTCGCTAAGAAGCTCGCCAACGAGTGGGTTACCTACCGCTTCGACCCCAAGAGCGCATCTGCCGCCAAGGTCCAGGCTATCTCCGACTACGAAGCCGAATTCGCCAAGGCTCAGTAGATCCTCGAATAATGACACTTCAAACCATGATGTACGAGCGAACGGATCGCCTGTCTACGACGGCATCTTAACGACGGCGCTCATAGCGCATCATTAGATCAGCGAAACCCGCTTGGTGGAGGCATCCGACGAGTTCTCCCGAGCTCTCCCTTACGCTATGTTCTTATACCTCTTCCGAGCGACTGGACGGCATCCCTGATCAGGGTGGATGGCTCCATAAGCCTTTGTTTATAATATTGCATTCACAAAATAAGTCCACGATACCACGAAGCGATTGGAATGAATTTGGCTGGCCGAATTTCTCATGTTTGTTTTACTCCGTCCTGGTTAGTAGTTACTAGACCGCAGGGTTAGGATAGAATGAATATTATCTTTTCGAACCGTACCGCTATCCTATCTCTAGTAACGACTTGAATCCAAATCTTGATACAAGTAGTTCCGAAACAAAGAAATATCCACCCGACACCCACACATAGTTCCATAAAGAGTTAGTACGGACGTACTCGAGAAAAAAAGCTGCTGACTGATCGGATGTCTCCGCCATCCTTCTTCGAGCATCGATCACCTTCGATTTCAAAAGAAACAGCGATGCACAAATCCCACTCATTAATCATGGATACATATTCTCCCTCTCCCTTGTCGTTTCCATTCTTCACCCGGTCACACACACACCGAACACAGCCAGCCTTATCGCTCGACCACGCATCCTCGTCAACCACTGAGCTAACACCATCCGGCACCTATAACACTAATAACGTGCTTCAGAAACAGGTTAACTGGCATCCCGCTCGGTCTATATAGCACACAAAGATCCCGACAATACCAGGTAGATTTCTAGTGTCAGCGACAACCTCCGCGCTCAACGTGTTACCATCATTGTCGCCGTCGGATCTTTCCTTTCAAGCGGTTCTATATAGCTCTGTTCTTTTCTATCTTTAGTTCGGTCCCAGGAATTCACTTAGTTGCGGACACCGTGTGGAGCGCCCCACTCTAATTTGGCCGATAGTCGCTTTGTAATTCAACTTCACCAAAAAAAAAAAAAAAAACAAGAGTAACTGGAAAGGCGCATCGCAAATTGGATATCGAAGAAAAGTCGTGCTTTCCCATTCTTGGTTATATTTTGAATCTAGTGATACGATCTAGACGATGGCGTTTGAATTGAAGGAGAAGGGTAACCAGCTTTTCAAGGAGGGCGATTATAACGGTGCCGAGGAGCTGTATTCGCAAGCGTGAGTTTTATTGATTTTATTCGATTATGTGCATCATTCCCCAAGAAAAAGGATAAAAAGGAAAAGAAGAGAAAAAGAACAAGAAAAACCTCATATCTATATGTCTGAAAACAAGACCACAACCCCCAGGCTAATCGCCAGCGTGGCACAGAATTCACAAGAATCCGCGCGAACCGACGTTCTTTACGAACCGCGCTCTGACTCGGATACGGCTCGAGAAATGGGCAGGCGTGGAACAGGATGCGCGCGCTGCGATTAGTCTGTACGGGCCCAAGAGCGCCTCCAGCCTGAAGAGCTGCTGGTACCTGGCGCAGGCGCTGCTAGGACTGCAGCGTCCGCAGGAGGCGTATGAGGTGGCTATCGATGCGTACCGGGCGAGTCTGGCGGCGAAGAACGTCCAGACGGAGAATCTGTCCAAGGCGGTTCTGCGCGCGAAGCAGCAGATCTGGGCGCAGAAGGAGACGGCGCGGCTGCGGGAGATGAATTCGACGTTAGCGAGTGTGGAGGTCTTGATTGAGTCCGATTTGAACCGGGCACTGGCGGAATTGCAGGGGAAGTTGGATCGGGAGGAGATTGGACAGATTGGGTTTGTCGAGGATCAGAAGGCGCTCCGTGAGGATGCGGAGAAGCACACGCAGAATGTGAGAGATGCATTTCGGATCGCGTCCAAGGGGGATATTCAGGAGAGAGTAAGTCTATTTATCCCACTCGAAATGGCTATGGTAGTACTGCGGTGATACTGTGCTAACGTTATGTGGCAGGTCGTACCCGATTATCTAGTCGATGGTATCACCTTCGAGATCATGCACGACCCCGTTATTACCCCGTCTGGGACCAGCTTTGACCGCATCGGTATCCAGAAGTACGTTGAGCAGGCCGGTGTCGACCCGATTACTCGGACATCTATGACGGTCAACGACCTGCGGCCGAATTATGCGCTCAAAGCGGCGTGCGAGGAGTTCCTGAACAAGAACGGCTGGGCTGTAGATTGGTAGTGGAATTGTGCCTTCTATCCTATTACTCCCATTTTTTCCTTTTTTGGTCTGTACTTGTTGTTTTAGCTATATGTGCGTGTGTTGTAGCGACGAGTACCCTAGTCTTTGCTTTGCATAGTGGCGTTTGGGAATGTTGACAATATGAATACCTGACATGAATATACCACCTCCAACCACACATGACCAGAAGCATTGCTATTCACAAGAAATAAACTCTTCCTATACAACCAAACGGCTAGAAAAAAAAGAAAAAGAAAAAGAAAAAGAAAAAGAAAACAAAACAAAATCAAGTGTACCAACCATGTGAGTCCCCAACAAACAAGTCACCAATAAATTACCCCACCAAAAGGCAGACAAAATCCCCCCACTTTCCACTCCCCTCACCCAAAAACAACAAAAGCCTTCCTCACCTTCTCTCCATTCAGAACACCCCCATCACCACAGATCCCACCCTCCCCAAATTAATTCAAAATGTCCATCAACGCCTTCCTCGAAAACCTGAGCTACGCCCAGTCCGGTGCTAAGTTCGCCGAGCTCCAGCCCGCTGCCTCCGGCATCAACGTCGATCTTCTCAAGGCCGCCGTTGAGGCCGTCCTCGCCGGCGGTGACGACGCCAAGGTCGAAGGCCCTCTGGCCGATGCCCTGAAGGCTGGTTTCGAGTTCGCGGCTAAGCTTGTTAAGGAGCTGAAGTCGAAGCCTGGTCAGGAAGAGATGCTCACTGTATGTCCCTTAACACCCTCTCTAGGGTTGAAGACGATGCTAACGATGAATGATTAGTTCTACAAGTACTTCAAGCAGGCCTCCAACGATCCCCCTTCTAAGCCGGGGTTGATGGACTTCGTCGTGAGTTTTCTTTTGCTTTCTGTCTCTTCTTATGATGGGCTGAGGAAGACGTGACTGACGGGTGTCTTATTTATTGTCTCTAGGGCAAGGCCAAGTACAACGCTTGGGAGAAAATCAAGGACATCAGCGACCAGAGGGCCCAGGCTTTGTACATCCAGGAGGTTAGCAAAGCCATCGAGGCGTACGGCACCAACGAATAAGTGTTGGGCTTGATTGTGTTGACCTAGGGAGGAATATGAACTTGGATATTATGGGCTTGGTGACGAGTTACGAACGAATGTTAGATTACTGCCTTTTGCTGTTATCTACATGCTTCTAGTGCATATACAGATTTTGGTTCGTTTGATTGTAGTGTATGAGTGGTTTGTGTCTGTGCTTTTGGTAGCATGTGGACTAGTCGAGGGTCCATGTTTGGCCGAGCCAGTCTGGTTCAAGGTGTTGCGCTGTTGCACACCAGGGCGTGTCATGGGCTGTGTAGGGTGTTAGGGGGAGGTTATAGGGCATGCGCAGGCCGATTACTGTGTCTGTTGTTGTCGTTTCGTTGTCTTTGTTTTCGAGAGATTCGGGAGTGTCTCGTTTGAAACTGGGGACCATGGTGGCTGATTCGGTGTCCTTGACGTATAGTTGGGGCCATACGGCGACTCCTATTTCCCAGCTACAGATCCTCACCTCCCCTGAGGCGTTGACGGCTGCTCCCCATGCCTGTGTGGAGAGGTTCGCTGATGTGACCATTGCCCAGTCGATGGTGTCCATTTTCCCTGCATCCGAGAAACGGATATAAGTCTTGATATGCGGTGCGGCTCGGCGACGGCCTGCGTCTTGCTTGGATGTATGACTCGGCTCTGCCGTATCATGGTCGCCCGCCCAATGTCGAAGGTATGGCTGCATGTACTGCAGTTGTTTTTGCTGCGCTGCGCTTTGGAGTTTCATGTGGATTGATCCACCGGAGCCGTAGCCGTTCAGGGACCGGCGGATTTCGTCGGCTGTAGGGAAGATGATAGAGTACTTCGGCTGCCGAGTAGATGCCGATGCTGGCGAAAGGGATGCAAATAGGACATCTTTCAGCCACTTATCAGTCTGACCAAGCGTAGCAACGGAGGATATCTACGCGTATGAGCATGCAGTGTATGCGGTATGTTGATACAGTTGGACATACCTGAGTAACAATATGTGGTGTAGTAGTCTTATTGCTCTCCTGAGCTGGAGGGATGTGGCGCATGATATCCTTCAACGCCGGCCAACCCCATAGTGTCTTCTGCGAGTCGAGATCGTTGATCTTCTGCTTCGAAGGCACACTAGCCACCAGAGCGGCACGAATAGCTCTAAAATCGTACTTCCTAAGTTGTTCGACCAGCGGACCTGTCTTTTTAGGCCCATACTCACTCAGGTATGCCAGTAGGTCTCTTTTAAACCGTGCACCACTGCCTAAGGTTAGGTCTTCTCCCCGATCATCTGTCCTTTGCAGGGGTAGAAGAGGAGATCTCCAGACAGCCTGACACATATTGGCCCAGTCACCGGGGATCATATTAGCAGTATGAATAACAACCCTAACACAGTTAATCAGGATAACCTCACAACCAAGAAAAAAAGAGAAATACATACTGCGCAAGATCATCATGTCTAAGCAGAATCATCATCTTCGAATGATGCGTCCCAAAAGCTTCCGGCATATAAGCAACAATAGCTTCCACATTCGGATACCGAGAACACGCTTCCTGATTTACTATTAGTCTACCCATCATAGTCCACAATGTAGAATCAGATTAAATGTAATCATTGGGGCATACATCAATCCGCACCCGATTAGGCGCATCCCTCTTCCAAGACCCATGCACAACCTTCACCTTCACCAAACGTCTTACATCCTCATCGAACTGACTCATGATGAAATCTACATCATGCAGATAATTAAACTGCCAGCACTCACGGATCATCGGATCCCCAAGAATATCGCGCAATCGAACCGTATCCACATTATTCCCTGAGGACGCGGCTAGATCGCGAATGTGGGTGAGTTGGAAAGGGGAGGGTATCACCCGCGGTTTCTGAGTGCCTTCGCATTCTTCTTCTTCTTCTTCTTCTTCTTCTGCATCTTTGACAGGTTGAGGTGGGCCAGACTGGGATTGAGATCTTCTTTGAGATCGGGATGATGGAGATGGGGGTGTGATGGATCGGCGGAGTGATTCCAACCCTTGGATGTGGGAACTTTCCTCTGTGGATTCCGGGTGGTTCTTGTTGGTTTCTGCCGAGACACTGGAGGATAATTTTATGCGCTTTGCGGGATGTTCGTCAGACATTGTTGTATTTTTAGGGCATGAGTGAGGTTGGATATGTAGCCAGGAGGTTGTTGATATCTGTTGATACGGCGGATGATTAGATGTAAGGAGCCTCAGGCCACACGTCATGCCAAGTCTTGGGATAGAGGTGGATGCTCTATGTAGTAGTAGCATGGGGGGACGGGGGACGTTTGGTAGAAGATAATATTATAATTTCTAGAATAGTGTAGGATGGAGATTCGGTTCTTTCTGGTCTTGTTCGTAAAACGTGGTCTATCGCCACTCGCTAGTACCTAGTTTCTAGACTTGGCTAGTACTTGAAGATATATACTACCTGTGCAGGGGCCAGGGCTCTCAGTGGATGCCACATTCCATCTTAGAATATCCATAGCCAACTTCTGTAAATATATATAATGATTGAGGCGAGATGAATAAATCTGAGCTTTCAATTTAAACTACTTGTTATGCATTGCTTCCCCAGTACTTTGGAGTGGATTGACAGACGCATCTTATAACCAGACTGTTAGAGCATTATCTGTGATATCAAAATGTATTGTTTTTAGGACATCAGTTCTAGCTTGAGTGCTCGCTTCTGTAAGCTGTACACTGTAGTGTCTACCTAATAACCTATTCTTCCTAACTTCTATCCTAAAGGTATACACCAAGCCCTACCTACCGTATACTCTCTTCGCCGGCACGAACCTTTCCTTCTCTCTCTATAAACTGAGGCTTCTGAACCCCCCCAAAAGATGAATATCTTCCCTCACTAAAGCCAACATACAAGCACCTTCCCTCCATAGAGATAAGCAGAGACAGTAGACATAAAACCTGCCCATAGCCCATTCCCTCAACATCTCCCTCACTCACTCCCCTCGATACCATCTCACAATAACCCACTCTCCAAAAGCACCTTTGATCTCAGAAAATCCCTTATAATCAAGTACAAGTGCATCACCACCAAGTACATTCAGTCCCGGGAGGCATAAATTGCCAACATCATCACTGATCAAAACCACTCACCATCCTCTCCCTCTCAGATCACCCTTGCGAGACGCTCAGGAACAAACTGACTAAAATGCCTCAAAAAAGCAAATCAGGCGAGGGACATGATAAAAAAAAAATATCGTTTCTGGGCATATCATTATGATGGTCACAATTTGCCAGTTATCTTTTGATCCCTTATCACTTAGCAATAGCGTGCGCGAAGCCGTGGAGCTAATGAAGAAGAGGTCTGCCGTAGGTTTTTATTTTCTTTGGCAGGTGATTTCCACATGACGTGTTTATGTTCGTCTTTTTTCTGTGGTTGTCCGTCATGGTAGCATTTCGGGATGTTGATGACTATTCTTGGTGGTACATTGTCATGGGGTCATGTTAGTATTCTTGTGTTGTTTTGCTCATGGTAAGACGTAGAAGCTGGGCAGATGATATAGATTCGGGACGAAATGAAGCTTTTCATATTGAAGAGTTTATGGGTATGGGCGAGAGAAGTAGGCAAAGGATGGGGTGGAATGGGGCATTGGAGGGGACTGGAGTAGATTCAGATTATACATATTAACTTCACTACTTCTTGTAATCGGGAACAATATGCAAAATAGATATTGCATTCAATTGAGCGTGGACCACGTGGACTATCGTCTTCTAGAAGATCAAGCGATTTACATGGACTTTTTTGACTGGATGTTTAAGACGTCCCAAAAGAAAGTACTGTAATTGTATCCAGACAAATACTGGCGCTGCCTTTGTCAATATTTCGAGTTATTGTATGTACAACAACCAGTGTTTACCTGCAAAACTGTGTATTTACTTAGGCAGGGTTAAGAATAGCTGTAGCATCCAGGAAATTCTAATTACAGACCTACAGAAGTCACAAATTGATACTAGCTTAGCTATCATAGAAATCCGGTGAATCCGAGGGCCTTATGACGCAGTGATTAACCACTGGCATTCTTCCGATATACTTTTGTAATTGTGATACTAGAAATCCCCAGAATATAGTTCAATATTTCTGACTTTAAAGTATAAGGCCAGTTTACTCTCAGCAAGTTGTGTATAAGATGGAGGCTTATGCAAGTACAGTAAGAATACAGCTGACTGCTTACTAATTGAATATACGCCTCTATAGCTCAGTGGTAGAGCGCTTGACGTATGTGATCCCGCCATATTAATATTGATAAGTCATTGTAAACTAACCGTTGAAACAGTTGTAATCAAGAGGTCCGTGGTTCAATCCCGCGTGGAGGCTCTATATCTTTCTTTTTTTTTTTCCTTGGTGCCCTTATTCTCAACAGGCGGCCGCCTATTGATTAGGTACAGAATACCTGCATACTGACACCTACTAGGTAGTACCTGATTAGAAGTGACAGCTAATTGGGCTCCAGCTGCTTATTTAGCACCCGCTACACAGGTAGTCTGGCACAGTAATGGATTAAATAAGCCTAAGAGATCAATCAATTAGGCACCCTAGTCCCTAAGCTGAGCTTAGGTATCGGTACCACTAACTAGGTACTATGGCCCTTACTTAGTACTTACAACCCAGTCTGTACTCAATCTAGTAGGAATTCCTAAAAATATTGAAATTAGGGAGGCCAATATAGATAGATAGTCCTTTTTGTCTATAATTCTGGAGTAAATACTTAGTATTTTTTATCTTCAACAAAAATCGTTACTTAGAATACGTGTCTTATACTCATAACAACACAATACATCAAAGCACACTTTCTAGTATGGTAAGACAGATTAGATATTATGATGTTCTATTCCGGTGGTAATAAATTCTATATAGATTAGGTGGCAGGCAGGTATCTTGGCTAAATAGCGCACACGTACTATTGCTGACATTCACAAAGGAATAAAATTTCTAATATACATCACCATACAATTACAAAGGCTTTCTCTATTCTATAATACACAGCGCGAAGCTACTCGCAATCAATAATAAAACAATCAAAGAAGGCAAAGAGGTCAAAGTGATCATTACCACATGAACCGTTGGATCTTTCCAGGCTCCTGAGGCCACTCGAAACCCTTATAGAGAAAGACATATCCGGTCACAATGTTGATAACCAGGAACCAGAAGGTTTCCAGAAATAGTGGAAAGTTGGTTGCGATCTTCGCATGGAGCGCTTCTTTCGCATCCCGAGGACGCTGCTCCCGGTAAACAAGCGGCGTGGGTTGGCGTGGAAGATGTAGTCGCCACATTACCCAAGGGATTATGAAGTATCGTGGCTCAACCAGGGGCGCAGTGATAAGCGAGAGAGCCGTGGCGATAAGCCAGACAAGGACAAAGCTTACTCGAGGTGCATCCGGTTGTTGCAGTTGGCGTTGCTTGATCGCCTCTTGGATCTTTGCGAAGGTTTCTGGTGTTATCTGTTCTGTTTTGGGAGGCTGAGTGACTTTCTTGGAAGGCTGCTTTTTGCTGCTGGTCTGTTTTTGAGCTTTTTGACCTTTCTGAACAGATGGCTGGGAGGCCGGCGCTGACTGCGGAGCTTGAATGAATCGAGGTGGCGGTGTGGTAGTCGAAAAGCCAAACGCGGAGATAACCACCCAACCGCAGAGGAAGTAAACAATAGTCGCGGCATATTTGACAGCCGGATGAGTCCGGAGAAGAATGCGAAAGACGTAGAAGATATAATGACGGTTGTCGGCGAGTGTGAAGGGGTGAACGATAGTGTTGTAGTGGACGGTGACCAGCATAATAGGGACGATCGCGAGAACCGTCAAAATCTGTGGGATGCCCTTCTGCTTTTCCGAAAAGCCATAGTGCATAAACCTAGGCAGAGAAGCCTTGGGAAGGATCATATTGACAACGGGCGAAATCAGGATAGGCCACGAGAAGAAGAAGATATAAGGCCAAATATACAGCATCTGAGGCAGATGAAAGCCCGCAGTATGGAATTCTTTGTGTCCTAGTAGATTTATGAGACACCGAATACAAGTAGATCATTGTTGAACTTACCCAAGACAACCCCATCATTCCAAAATACAAAGCCTCCGAAGGCCGCAAGAATGACAACATACGGGATTGAGGAGATAATAACCTGTCCCAAGTTACCAAGCACAGCAGAACAGAGGGAAAAGGCGGTTTTGAAATAATCTAGAGCTCTATTAGCTACGTATATAACAGGAGACAAAGAAGGTAACCTACCCGCGAACGAGGCCTCTGATACCGGAGGGTCATACAATTCATTTTTGAAGCCTCTTTTGACAATATCTGCAGCATTCGACGACTGACATGTCTTGGAAGATTTCCGCAATGTCCGGATGACCTGCAATCCACCGAAGAAAACAGCGACCCAGAAGATGTTGGTCTGCCTAAAGGCCAGCGCAGCCACTCCCAGAAGAATGAACACAACAGACTGACCAGGGAAGGCATTTGGAGTCGACCTTCTAAGGTCCCAATTGTACGCTTCAATTACAACCAACAGGGCAAGGATATCGGTATAGTAGAGGCCTGAGAAGAAGAACAACGGCGGAAAGAGACAGATATTCAGCACAGTATGGCTTAGCCATGAGCCGGATGGACGTGTATTGCGTTCCTTCCGTAACCTATCTAGCAAGGTCTGCAGTCTCAAGGGTAGGAAGATGGCGGCGGCTGCAACATTGGTTGAACGAAGTGCTTCCGCATTGAGCTCCATCGGAGAGCCTCGAAGCAAAAGCGCACCAGCGCAAAGAAGGTACGACCAGAGATAGAGGCCAGGGGGAGTGGTGATTTTCGGGTCCCAGTGCGTCCACTTGTGATGCCAATATGCTTGAGCTTGGGGAATATGGAAAGCTTCATCCAAATACGGCTCCGGAACCACGGCATTGACCCGATTCATCCATACAGGTATCGACAGCAAAACAAAAGGAACCGCATAGCGGGCGGCAAGAGCTATGCCCGACTGAGGTTGAGCGGCACTCATAGTATCGACTTGGACCAATTGACCATGGAACTGGAATTAAAGTAAAGGAGTGGGATCATGAAGTCACTACCTTCAATTTAAGTAACCAACAAATTAAATTGACCGCGGAGAAACATTAAATCTGCAAACAGAACAAACACCCACCGCATTGGGCAATTCTATATCCCCAGCTTTATCCATGGTCTAGACGCTGCGACGATCATCTTTGCCTCCATTGCTGAATGTTTTTAATGATATGAACAACTGTCGCTAAGACTTGTGCATCCCGATAAGCTGTTCCTCCCCATACTTTGTGAAATCTTGACGGCCAATGGCCTTTCCCCTCCCGCGGGGCATTACGCCCCCGGAGATATCCTTTCTGGCTGAGATGGAGATGGTCACCATCCTTCCTCGTCAACGCTTGGAGGGATTGGAGCTTCTCGGTGTAAGTGTATTGTTCTGTACCCATGTTGTATTGATGAATATGTTTCCTACCCGTCTGAATCATGTATACCAAGAAAAAAAGCCAAGTGATTGAGAAAAGGCGGCGGGGCAGTATTGATAGAAGAGAGAATATACCAAGTCAATATTCAGTCTACTTGGAGGTTTACATAAATCTAACATAATGAATCAGGGCCCTGTTGAGCCTCTTCTGCCGCCCCGACGCGCTTCTTTACCCCTTTGGCTGGCTCTCCTTCTCAAACGCCAACGCCGCGCAAATATCCTTCCTCCAACATGGCTCCATCCAGAATCTCTTTCCCTCATCCTCGAAATTGAAACCCAACACCATGAGTATCAGCATGCATTCTCCCCGCCACCCCCACTCCCAGGCCAACCAAGCCTTCGGGATCGTGGACAACGACCTGTCGCCGTGCCTCGCTATACCCCAGATGGCGGACGGTACTACCCAGCACCGCCATTCCTACCCCAGAATGTCGCGCAGGACCATGTCCCATCTGGCGAGCCTCCGTCACTGCCATTTCACTGGCTGGAGGTTGGAACGATGCTTCTTGACGCCGCTAGTGATGACTTAGTGGACCCAGACCAGACCCGGAGGCTCTTGAAGGAGCTGCGCGAGGTGCGAACAGCTAAGATAAGATCAGGCGTGGATGTACTAGATGTTGCTTCCACTGGTGGGGGCGGGGTAGCATTAACCGGTGTCGGGGCGATGGAGGTTGGTGAGGGAAGAGGGTTCATTGCTGGCGTTGTCGATGGACTAAGGTAGGCTATCCATCCACCTTTTCTGGAACAGAACATAGTTTTCATTGCTAACCTCAAATCTTCTACTGAACAGGAAGATTGGCGCATCAAAAGAGCAAGCGCGGAGAGAACAGATGGCAGAAGATATGGCCAATGGTGGATATGACGCTACGCAAGACGACGATGACGATATGGAGTTCTAAAGGACGCGTCTTTCGTGGTCTGCTTCATATAGCTTCATAGCTGAGATTTTGCCATCTCAATAATTTTGATTCCCCTGCAGCTGGCTAGCAATGGTCCAGAACACGGCCTCGTTACGAGGACTGCAACCTCGCTGTTCACACGGTGAAGTTCTCTCTTGAGAGCTCATGAGGAATAGGAAATACCTCCCCGGTATATCCTCAGCGTCAAAACAGCAATTCCAAGGGACAGAGGTGTGGCGTGGCGACTATCCATTGTAGATGACTCCATGTTGGATAACCGAATGATTAAATATGGTCGGCTAATGTATTTAACTCTTGTTCATATATACCCACTTAGAAATACGACATATAACCCACCTGAGGGTGATTCATATAGCTTCTATACCTATCATTACCACTGTGCGTCTTACGAACAGGCATGCTGAATAGTCTATTAGGGGCGGTCTACAAATTATAGATACGTGTAGACATGTCGACTTTCTTTCAAGTTGTGCGTTATACAACTCTAACAGTCAAATTTAGTGCACATGACATATTGCCTATCCAGGCCATTGCGCTAGAACGACGGACTCGCACTTCCAGATATCACCGGAACATCAATTAGGATATTATGCTAAGTCTTCAAAAGTTTAGGTTTAAAAGAGATAAAAGAGGTATACAGTATAAAGACATAAGCTCCGTCTCCCCAACAGAGTGATGAAAAATGGGAAAGAAAAAGAAGAAGGGTGAGCTTTTCAGACGCGGTGAACGCCCGTCGAAGAAGCCCGCTCATGTACGGTCAAGGAGATATACCAAAATCAAGATCTATTGCATGACACATTGACGCCAGCGCTTATGCGTTTTCTGATTGAAGAGTTTGCTGTACATGGGATATATTAGTTTGACTGGAGACAAAAGGCTTTGAACCTGACAGGGAACAGTGTACTCACCACCAACCAATCCATGCCTTCGTTAAGACCCTTACCATCAATAGCCGAGCACGCCACGATACTCCAGTTTCTATCTCGGAGTTCGCCAAGCTTCAGTGCTTCCGAGATCTCTCCGGCTCCCTTGGCGCCCGGCTGGTCCTGCTTGTTGGCGAATACCAGCAGCGCGGCATCGCGAAGTTCCTCCTCATTTAACATGGCTGCAAGCTCGTCTGCAGCTGTGCCCAGTCGTTCAATATCTGTAGAGTCGATGACGAAAATAACAGCAGCGGTGTTAGCGTAGTAGCATCGCCAGTATGGCCTGATAGACGTTTGACCTCCAAGATCCTAAAATAGAAACAAACAGGTATCAGAAATTATCTTCTCCATTGTCGTTTAGAACTCCGGGATCGCCATCGCAATATACTTACCCAGACATTGAAGTTCAAATTTCTATATGTGACGGATTCAACATTGAAACCGATAGTAGGTATCGTCGTGACGACCTCACCGATCTATGAGATCAACCGATCATGAGCATAGTGTTCGTGTAATATGTATTTCAAGCCGAGAAATCGTATTAAAACATACCTTCATTCTGTAAAGGAGTGTAGTCTTTCCAGCATTATCCTACACCATCATAGTGGATTAGTCCTGGATTTCCCTGATGCCTAGTGTAAGACTATAGTCACGTACGAGACCTAAGATGAGAATACGGATTTCCTTCTTCGTCCAGAGGAAGGACCATAGACGCGACAATGAACCACCCATTTTGGCTTTTTTATTTAATAAGACAACGCGACTCTTAATCGGAAGTGGGAGGAGTCAAGGGCGATGTTGCGGGAGTGCGAAGTGGTTGGTGTTGATCGGGTTGACGGCGTAGATGTTGACCGATTCGGGATGAATGGACAATAGGATCAATTCGGGGAATTCACAAGTGGTTTTTGACAGTTTAGTGGTGAGTTACTGAAAGAAGGGAAAAAGAGAAATCGGTATAGCAATAATGACGAACAACACAGAAGCAATAGCTGACTAAATGGTGTATGAATGGGAGGGATTTCTTGGATTGTGGCAACGATTGGCCTGCGGATGTGCTGCGGCGCCGATCGGTGTTGGTCCAAGCTCAGTCTTTCTCTCTCTTGGGTCATGGGGATGGAGAGACCCTGGGCTATTGCGAGTGGCAGAATTAATATGAATTGATTGCCGCGCAAGTTCCATTCCAGCCTCTCCTGCCATTATTGTTACAACCCTTTTTTATATTTATATCTCTCACGTCCTCCTCCTTCTCTTCTCCCCAACAACATCACCAACCACTACCACCCCCGATGGTGTCCGCTCCGATTGTCCACCACTAGATCCCCCTCCCAATTCAAGAACTTCTTGCGATCGGCTTGCGACCAGCGCCGCATTACGTCCAGAACCAACGTAACATCATTCAAACTTAGCCCTCGACTTCTGATATTGCCAAATAACACACCATGGTTGGAAAGAAGTCTGGAAAGGCCCTTCTTCGGGATGAAGGTATGCTCACCAAATATCGTCGTGCATGAATGGCTACAAGTGCCCGGTGGAAGCCAGATGCACCTCATTGGGAGCAATGCGCTAATGGTCTGATACCCCCTAGGCCTTGAAAGAACAGACAACAACATGGAATTATCGAGCTGGCCTCAAATCCCTCCCATCAACCAAAAGAACTATTACACGTACGTGGTTCGCCTTTACCGTGACGCTTTCGGTGGCGCCCTATTCGGACAATGTACTAAATAAGTGTCAGTGACTATCTTAAGAGAGATGACCAGTATCTAGCGTTTCGACTACAAAATGAAGAAGCGCGAAATCGCATGGCCAAAACAGCCAAAGACCGGGATCGTGCGCTAGCTATGGCAAAAGCGAATGACCTCGGTATTCCTGAAGCCGATGCAGACGATGGCGATACCAATATGGAGGATGCAGAGGAGGCTACAGCAGAAGCCGCTGGGTCGAAGGTCATTGTTATACATGTTGGCAGCCAGAATCTGCGAATCGGACTTTCCAGTGATGCGTTACCGAAAACCGTTCCGATGGTCATTGCGCGAAAGTCTACAACTAGCGAATCTGAGGACCGCGAGGAGCCTTGCCCTAAGCGATTGAAAACAGATGATGGCTCTGAGTTGGAACCAGAGAAAATGTTTGGTTCTGAGGTTGGTTCTCATGTGCTCTTCGTTGCAGCCGTAGCCTAACTTTGTGTTTTCTGGTCACAGTTCTCTTCACAGTACACTGCCATGTCCGCGGAACTCAAAACACACATGCGGCAAAACAAACGCAGGACGCTGCCGAACTCCAAGGAAATGGTAATCAATTACAACCGAAGAACAGTGCCAGAGACGATTTCGGAACACAATGACCCAATGCGGGTCGAATGGACGGAGATCCCGGACGTCGCGCCGGAGTATATAGTAGGCCAGGCAGCTTTAAGGATCCCAGATGCGTCGACACCTCGTTACAAGCTCTACTGGCCACTGAAGTATGGCTGGTGTAACGAGCGAGACTACAATAGCAAAAGACTCTTATTCCTGGATATCTCGTTGATTCTTGAAGATGCAATCAAGAACCAGCTGGGCCTTACAAGTAAAAAGGACTGGCTACAGTACTCATGCGTGTTTGTCATTCCAGATCTTTATGAGAAATCCTACGTCACGCAAGTTCTTGAAATGCTCATGAGGGAGTTTTCATTCGCCCGCGTCTGCTTCATCCAGGAGAGCTTGGCTGCTACATTTGGGGCGGGATTTACATCGGCTTGTGTGGTCGACATCGGTGCGCAGAAGACTTCAATTTGCTGTGTGGAGGAAGGAATGTGCATAGAGAACTCGCGCGTGAATCTCAAATACGGCGGATCGGATGTGACAGAGACATTCGTCAAGATGATGTTGTACGATCATTTTCCTTATGCGGACATCAATCTATGGCGTCGGTACGACTTTCTACTCGCTGAGGAGCTGAAAAAGAACATCTGTACCATGAATGAAGCCAGTGTCTCGGTACAAGTGTTTGACTTCCACCTTCGTGTCGCTGGCCAGGATACCAGGAAGTACACCTTCAAAGCTTACGATGAGGTGCATTTGGCGCCCATGGGATACTTCCAGCCATCCATTTTTGACCATTCACTAAAGCTCAACGGACGAAGGAACTTGATATCCCGTTCAGTCGACATATATGACGGCCAACCAAACGACCCAACATCTGCAGCGCAATCAGAACTCTTGACAGCCATTGCTCCTCCTATCAGTGGCCAGGCGAATGGCGATACTCAGTCTAGTACTCTAGATATGCAGTCGACTCCGAGCCGCTCCCAGCAAGTAAGTGCCCTTAGCCGCCTACAGGAGGCGGAGGCTACTCCTCGATCATCTGTTGCCGGATCTCCTGTACCAGAGGTGACCAGTACTCCTCAAGCTGGTGGTGCTGGTACACCTGCGGTCGGCGGGCAAAGTCAAAGTACATCGCAACCTCGTGCACCAACCGTTGAAGAACGCGATGATATACTGCCGACGTTCCCGCTTGACAGTGCGATCCTTATGTCTATCGCCCATGCTGCTCGGTCTGATGAACGCAAAATGCGGGACTTCCTTGGCGGTATCATGGTTGTTGGAGGTGGAAGCTTGATCAATGGGTTTCACTCGTTCCTTGAGGAGCGATTGCAGGCACTTCGGCCTGGATTTGCCAAAGAGATTATGATTGGCACCCCTCCTCGAGATCTCGATCCTCAGGTGGTTGTATGGAAGGGCGCAAGCGTATTTGGGAAGTTGAGCGGGACCAATGACAGCTGGATTGGACAGTTGGAGTACGACCGGCTAGGTCATAGACTAATGGCCTACAAATGCATGTGGGCTTATTGATTCAATGTCTTTCTTTCCTTTGATGTTCGTGGCTATCATTATCTCTTTATACTCTGAATGACGGTATTGACACTATGGGTTGCCTTTGTTAGAAGGATCTGTACTTTAGATGATTGGTTATGCATGGAAAAATTCACTTTGGATGAACTGCATGCGCTCGTATATACGATGAGTGAATGCAATAGTAGCCCATGGTTTTAATAACACAATTCACTTGCTCCACGGGCCATACTTACGGAGTGTATACTTGTGACTAGACATCCTCGGACCAATATTGATCCGCCTACAGTTCACCCAACCACACTAAACCTTAACTACAAGGCGGTGAAACAGTGCAGAATGGATCCTCCAACCCCAAGTAAGTTTGTCTATCCAGACTGTTTTCAATAAAGCTGGATCCTAAGTCATTCTAAACCTGTCCAATTCCCTTAGAGCTTACCCTGGTTAAAACTAAGGATTGCGACTCGGCTGATTGCTTAATTCCTGATAACGAGATCCCTAATATTACCCTATCTCCTCCATGTGAGTGCTGAAGAATGTCGCAAATAGATTCGGAACAGCTACTGATCAGCCTACTATACAGTGGTTTCCCCACCTTTCATTGAGACACAAGCTCAAGAGACGGGCCGATACTGGTTACTCAGATATGTCGAAGTCCAAAGATGGCAGCTCCTCCGGGAGTTTTCATCAGGAGTATATCGCGTCTTTGCGTTATCGCAATGACCTTCCTCCTCCTGACATGCCCCCGAAGTTCCTTGATATTCCACACGACGGATTAGAGCGCTTTCTTACGCCAGGCTTCGCCTCTAACCTGGCACGTCGTGAAGAACCAAACATTGATGTCGATGCTGAGGGCGGTATGCCCATTGACCTGGTTGGCATTCCAGGCTTGCACTTAGGCGATGAGAGTGGTACGTAACCTTCGTAGCGCACTTCACGATATAACACTGCTAACGGAGTGTACCTACACAGCGATCATGGCACCTGAAAATCCGGACCCAATTGACCCCGCCGACCTTCCCCTTTTGATGACTTTGGACCAGCTGAAGAACCCAGCACCCCGGAATACGAACGTTAGCTTTCTTCGTCGGACACAGTACATTTCGGCTGGACTTCGAGCACCGGAAGGTCCTAAAGTCACACCTATGCGATCGAAATCGCGTCCGGCTGAAAAAGTGAAATCCCAGGATGACCCGGCTTACATCAAGAAATACATACAAAAAGGATTTGATATTGCATACCCCGATAGCAAGCACGTTGGGGAAGATACACCCAGTCAAATTAAAGGACACACACCGACTAAACTTGAAGTTGATGCATGGGCCAATCCTGTGCATCCGGACAACCCTAAGTTGAAACCCGTCGGCTTTTATCCTCTCCTGCCCGACCTCCAAGGATTTCCGGACCCTGGTGGTTTCGTCCAATTCAAATTTGACAAAGCACCTGTTCAAGATGCCTCTGGCAAGAGGGATAGGCGCATGGACACCGGTATCCTTCTTCCCTCCGCGCCTGAGGAGCGCGTGTGTGAGGAACATGCGACGAAAGTGGCTCTGCACAAGACGAACCCCAAGTTGTACCCTGATCCTGGTCCAATTCCCTGGGATTATGATCTCTTCCTTCCTGAGAAGAAGGACTCTATCAAGAAAGTCCTCGCAAGCATGCACATATATAACCCCAACCGCGACAATGAGGAGCTTTACACCCACGAAGGTTCCGATAACTCCAAGTTCCACCGGTTCGACCGCATGCGTACTTTTGCTACTAGCGCTCAGACACTTGGCGGTGATAACAAGCAGAAAGATATTGCGGTGACACTTTTCAATCCATCAGAGGCGAAGGAAGATTATCTGTCCTCAAAGCAGAAGGCTGCATACTATTACCCCATTCTTGGGAAGACCCGCCTGAAGCCCGAGAGAGCCCGTACTATTGCACAGGCAGGCCTTGCTCCAACCCGCCCTAAGACGAAGGAAGACCAGGTTGACCAAATAC